ATTTTACATAGATTGAACACAGTGGATCTTTCATGAGTGACGATTAGGGTTGCAACTAAAGATTCTTTCAGTTACACTGATTAAAATACAAGCTGTGTGAAATGCACATGAGATCATGATTTAAGTTTTTCCCGTATAGGAGAGGAACAGCAGCACTGTCCCAGTAAAGACGGCACTGATGCCATTACATTAACTCTACATAGTACTCACAGCTATGTTGGCATCAGTAGGTTCTTGGTCCTGGAGATAGTGTTCAGTGAAGAAGTCTGTGAGCTGAGGCTGGATGCGTCTCAGAGGCTGGGCGTTCCCATGAAGCAACAGCACCATATCCACCATAGAGAAGCTCTGACACACCAGGGACAGCAGGTCCCCAAAGAACCCTACCATCAGATAACAACCATGGTGATTAGTGTGAACTGCAAGAACTTGTTAGGCACAATATCTTCATTCAAGGACTCACCCACGGCATCCCCAGAGCCAGGAACAAACAGGTTATTGGTCTGGGACAGCCTCTGGATGAACTGGGCAATGCTTTCTCCGCTGCCCTGCTGTGCCCCAAAAGAGCTCATCATGGTGGACAGCACTCCCTGCATAATGCCAGAGAATAAATCTGGGCTCAGAGAGTCTCCGGCTGGGCTGCTGCCGGACTGAGAGGGAGCAGGACCAATGGACTGATGAGGAAGTGAGGCCCTGGGGCCAGAGGCAGGTGGCTGTGCAGAAACAACACCTGTTGCTCATTGACTGGTACAAACAGTCTTTATATTAAGGTTCAGAAATGTTTAATTCAGGTTTTCTGTCATTTTATCTGAACTCACTGGTGCCACGTCTGACACGCTCTGGAAGAAGCCAGGAACCCCTGGTAATGTCACAGTGATGGATGGAGCCAATCCAGAGGCAGGACCACCCAACCCTGCTGCTCCCAGTAGAGATCCCAAGAGCTGAGCCATGTTTCCCTCTGGGCTGGTCTCTGCTGGCTGACCGACTGAGGTAGTACTTGTGGTGCGGGTGGATGTCTGTCCAGATGTATTAGCTGAGGGAAAGGGGGGAGAAGCAGTGCTGGAAACAAACATGGGAGAGGCAGACAGGGAGGACTGAGAGTTCGCTGAAGGATCACCTAGAGAGTTAAAAAAACATGAAAAAATAATATTACATTTTTGAGGCCAATACTGATAAAAGTCACACTGTGCAGGAAAGTGCAGGAAGGACAAGTGAAGACGCCATGCTGCTAGTCAGTCAGCTATACGCTGAGGTAACCTAGTGAATCTCTAAAGTCACAGTGAATGAATACTGTGAAAATAACTAGCAGGTGAATTGAGTAAGAGTGTGCTTTGGATAAAGCATGTGATGATTACACTTTTAAAATAAGACATTATCCATAAGCTTTTAATTTAACTGGCTACACAGATGAGCTACACAAAAACACCACTGTAACAGGAACAGGAAGTGACACAATGACACTGACCTGGCTGCTCCAGCATCAGAAGCTGTCCAACCAGACCACTGATCATCTGGGTGAGAGAGGAGGGACCCAGTGCCGTGCCCTGTTTACAAAAAGGCGAAGTGTGCAGAGCCACACCAGTGAATATACGTTTACTGCACAACAGTTATTCTACATAATTCAGTGCGTTGTGAGATGTATCGAAGGTTCTAAAATTAGCTGACAGTCGATAATCAAATCATTTGTGTGTCACTTTTTAAGTACATTATGTTTGTGATGTTCAACCTGTATCTCCTCACACTCTGTGGT